AGTTAGTTCAGCAACTTAGCTGATGAAATTTATGCTGCAATAAGATGTTAAATAAAAGAAAATGCAACTAGAAGTTACGAAAATAAAGTAGGCTATTATAAGAATAAAATCATATTTTCGAATTTTGCCTGAAACTCCCAGACTGAAGAAGTCTCTTGGAGGAGAGACGAAACGTTTCATTAGAGAAGAACCCGTCCAGAAGACCTATAAAAAAAATTTTCTTTTTGTTTTGATTTAAACATTTGCAAAATTGCATTTTGTCTAAATATAATGAATTAATGTCGTATCAATGTATCATTTGAATGAACTGTAATATATTCCTAAAAGAATTGAAGCATATTTTTAGCAGTAGCAACAAAAAACCTGATTTTGAGGAAAAACGTCTTAAAATTTGAATTTTTTTCCTTGTGAGCTAGTAAAGTTTTTGTTTCTTTCCAAATGGGAAATCTTAATATACAAATACTATTTAGGTTTCCTCTTTATACTGTCAACAAAAATCACTCAATAAATTTACACTAAATTAGGATTCAGACCTAATATAAACATATTGTAACCAACAAGAGAAATTAAGTTATATCTCTGAATAAGCTTATGATATCAGAATGATGCAGGTATCAAAATGTAGCTTTTAAAGCAGGAATCTGAAAATGTAATTGGATCCTTTTGACCAAATTTGACTTAATCCTCATTTCGATATGATGGGTCACATTTAGGTAAATGCATTTAGAGGTTATCCATTAGTCAAACAGTTGGGCTTAAAGGAAACGATGGATTCTTTGTCATCTTTCTGCACTTTTTTTTTTAGACCAAATCTGTGAATGAACTTCAGGAAAAAGGTAACATATAAAGATTTTTTCTGTTTCCTCCTTGCTTCTCCCTCTCCGTGATTTATTTTTCTAATTTAACAAATTTCAAATACATTTCTAGACAAAGAATATGGCGGTTTCTTTTTTATTCCTTCAAGGGAAGAACAACATTAAAAGGTTTCATCAGATGAAGGTATTAAAATGATGAGTGGCACCATACCCAGTATTTCATCATACATATAAGGTTTTTAAACTCTGTGCAAGACAGAAAAAACATTTCAAGTCATCCTCTATAAACTAGTTGTAGTTATAGTAGCTTTGTAAGTTTTCCTCCTTCTTGGGTTAAATGAAATTTGAATTTGTATAGAAATAATTAATCAAAATATATCAGATTAATTAGAAAAAAAATACTTATGTATATCTTTTAAATGGTCTATGCATAAATATTCAATCGACAAAACTCAATACTTTGTGTTGCTGCCTTTTGTCTTCCGGTACATCTAAGCACTGGACATTTTGTCCATCCTAAATCACCAAACTGCTGCAGCATAGATGAATGTTATGTCCAATTGTCTTCAAACACAATCAGCTTCTCTCATTTGGACACAGTTTTGGTCTTTGATTGGACCATGATTCCAGGACTTTTAACTGGTTTCCTAAAACCACTGGAGTGTTGCTTCTGCAGGTGTTTGCTGGAAGGTGAACCTGTCTCTGTCTCAAATGTAAAACTCAAAATAAATTCCTCTAAAAAATGTCTCCATCTGCTCCAATCCATCTTTCATTCAACTCCACAGGTTTCCCAGTCCCTGCTGATGAAAACCATCCCCACAGCATGCTGCTGCCACTGCCTACCACACTTCACTGTAGGAACGGTGTTCATGGCAACATGATGCCATAGATCTGCCTCAGACGGTGTCATCTTTGATGGCCTAAAAGTTGGGGCTCATCTGACAAATGATGTTTGTGGAAGAAATCTCAAGCAGTCCAGCTTTTTCCCTTTATGCAACATTTTCCTGCTGCTCTTCTATGACATCCAGCTGTGTACAGATTCAAGTGGTTCAATGGACAGTTCCTTTCATCTCTGCTAAAGACCCCAATTCCATCAGGGTTTGGTATCATGGACGTTTCTCTGATTAATGCCCTCTTTACCAGGTCCATGTGTTTTGGTGGATGATCCTTTCTTTGGTGGCATCACCATTTCCATTTTTTAACAATTGATTTAAAAAAAAAGTTAAGGATGTTTAGGGTTTGGGGTTTTTTTTTACCTGAGCTGAACTTCTCCACACCTTTGTCTCTGAACTGCAGAGTTGTAAAGTAACTAAGTACAAATACTTTGTTACTGTACTTAACGAGAATTTTTGGGTATCTGTACTTTACTTGAGTAATTATTTTCAGCCTACATTTTACTTCTGCTTACATTTTCACACAATCATTTGTACTTTCAACTCCTTATAGTTTTAAAAAAGGCAAGGAGTAGAAAGTCGTTAATTTTGTTTCATTTTTGTTTGTTGTCATCCCAGCTTATTGTAAAAAATAAATACTATCCATATAAATTGTGCCTCCTAGTGAATTTAACTGTGGTTGAATGAAAAGTATAAATATAAATCATGTCACACTCCAGCAGGACATAACCATTCAAATAAAAGGACTGTACTTAAGAAGTATTTGTATTTCATGAATTATATTATTTCATTTGGCTGCAGCCCTCAGATAGATTTTCATTTGGGGATAAATTCCGGGCAGTCTTGTGCCCAAAACTGTTTCTGTTTTGTAACATCTTTTTGCTGCCATGCCAGCGCTTTTGTTAAAGCTTTTTTTTTATTTTTGCTAGCATTTTTTTTAGGCCCATCATCACTCAGTTCTGCGT